AGTAAAATAAAGAAGTTTCACGCTACGATAGTCGTGTTATTTGCGCAACATCTCCCGCGCTTGACTCCTACTGCCCTTGTTCTTTCATTGTTTTTTGATAAAGAATTAATATCTAATAACGGTTAATTTGTTTAATTAAATTTCTATAATATTATCTAATTTTTTTACAATTTCTTAGAAAACATAAAAGCTTGTTTTATTTTCGAACAACATTTTGTCTCGAAATTGCTGTTATTGATAATAGCTGTTTATTATTTTAATATACATTGTTTATAAAGACTTTTACTAATAAATTTGTTCTTACTTATAACCTGATTAAAGATTTACTCGTTTATATTTAATATTAATTTATATATAATAATCATTATAATGTATTGACTACAGTATAAATTATTTTAATAGAAATTATAAACTTAATGTAATATCAATATCGGTAAATGCAATTCATTGTGCTAATAGCTAATTATAAATCTACTTGATCAATCAACATAACAATTAGTCATTTAATTAATAGCAATTAATTGTCGCATTGTACGTAAGCCTCTCTCTCTACATTTATTTTTAATATGTGACATGATTAATATTATTTTTTTATATATATTATACATTTGTATAACTCTTGAATAGTTATTAGTTTATTTTATAATTCTTATTCTTAATTTTTTAATCTTTCTTTGAATATACAAATCACTAATAATAAGATTAATTTAATCGTAGAACTTCTATATACTATATGTAAGTAGTTAATATTTTATGCATTCTAATTTTTCTACACATCAAAGAAATTTCATTTTGATTGACCCATATATATTTTATCTAATCTTTAAAATCACAAATTCTTATAATATTATTTATATTTTGCTATTAAGTATTACAATAATAAAATTAATGTTAAACATAAATGGTTTATTAAAAGAATAAACAAAATGTATCATGAAATAGTGAATTTTTATTGTAATTTTTTATAATAATAAGAAACTCTGAAACATTATAAAGCAAACCTTCGAGAAGTTGTAAAAAAATATTATTAATAAAACGGAAAATTAATCCTCTATATTGTTTAGAAGAGGAAACAACTTGTTTAAAATCTTTCAAACGAAAGATTTTTTATTTAAGATATATTATCGAAGTTTGACAAAGCTTCCAGCTTTATTACGGTTATTCGGCTTATGGTTTCTGCGTTATTATATC